TGATCCTTGAGTGATGTAGATCGTTTGTGGATAATAATTGTTCGTGTTTGTGATGTTTGATGTGTGGAGCTCCAAACTTGTTTGATTCGGTTTGATCAATTCTTGAGGTGTTTTGCTTAGATTTTTGTGGATCTATGATCTACATAACATGTAGATGTTGTTTGGATTAATTTGGTTGAGTTTTAAGAACTTCGAAATTTTGTGCACCAAGCTTGTTGTTCACTTTTTGAGTTTGTTATGAGGAGTTAGTGCAAATAAAGGCTAGATTCTTGTTCCTTGCGATTTGGAGATGAATTTTCATCTAAAGTTTGTTGGAAACAGTTGATAAATGAGGGAGCTGTGATGTTGCTTGCAAGTTGCGGTGGCCGGCGCAAGGTTAGAGACAACCGGAACTGTTCCGGCGCCGGCGAGGAGTGTGTGTGGAGAAGACGACGACATGTCGTCATGTAGCGCGTCCGATTGGATTTCTTTTTGCATGGACGGATGAGATTAGGGTGTACCGTGCTCCATCTTTGACTTGTGTGCTTGGAATTCTTTTTAAATCTTCATTAATGTGTTGTCATTATATCAGCCACATGATGTGAATACCAAAAGATCGTGTGCGTATCATTGCTTTCCACTGTGGTACATTGTTGACCGTTGCACACACAATTGCCCAGAATTATTTTGTTTTTGATTTTATGGATTGGGCCTTGTGAGCCCTTGCTACTGGCACCCCCAGTTGGGCCCAGTTTCTGTTTTGAACTTGGTTTGGTTGCTATTTGGCACAGCTTTTTTCTATTTTCTTTTAATTTTCATTTGTTTTTATTTTTATTTTCTGTTTTCAATTTTAATTAATTAAAATAGTTCCAATACTCCAAAAATTCACCAAAAATATTTTTAATCAACTTTGAGATGTCTACTTTTTTTTATATTTTATATTTTATTTTTCCATTTTATTTTCAATTAAAAAATGAATTGAGTATTGGAATTGTTTTAGTTGGTTCAAATTGTGACATGTTTGATGTTTGCATTTGTTTCTCTCTTTTCTTTTTGATCCAATGACTAAAAATTGATCCTCATCTCAATGATGAGTTGATCAATTTTTGAAAATCATTTTCCCCTGGTTGTTGACTTTTGGGTTGACTTTTTGGGCTTTTCTTTTTGCACTTGTTTCTTCCATTTCAAAGTGGTACATCCAAATGATTTAATTCTTTTGATGGTGCTTTGAAAGGATATTTGGTTTCTTGGCCTCTGATTTCCAACTTGTGTAGCTTCTTTGTGAATTTTATTTAATAATTTTTTAGCCCTTTTCCTATTTTTGAAGTGACTTACAAGTTAGGTCATCTCATAGGACAGCTCACACAAGTGCATGACCTAGTTTGAATTGGAAATGACTCCTATGGATCCAATGAGCTCTCAACTCTTATTGTTTTACATTCTAAATATGTTGAGCTTGCTGTATGTTCATTTATAGGTCAAAATTATGTTCATAGCTTATTGGATTGTGTGTTTCTTTTTAGGGTTTCATCTTGCATTTCCATGTGGTGTTTGCTTACATCCTTTATGCTTTTGTTTGCATTTATTTTTGGTTTGATTTGGATGTTGCTTTTGAGCTCTTTCCTTTTCATCTCCCTTCTGTCGAATGACCTTGGAGTGTCATTTAAGGTAGCTTGGTGCCTCGTTAGGAGGAATTTGAAGCTTACGTAAAGTGATGAATCCATGAGGACCCTTTCTTTGTGTTTGTCACTTTGTTGTTTGTTTGTGATGCATCTTTCTACTTCTTCTTCTTGTTTCTTGCATTTCCATATGCATTCTTGGTTGAGATGAGCTTGTGGTGGCTACTGCCCCACACTATTTTCCTCCCACTATCATTCTATGTGTTGCATTTTGTTTGCATTCTCATTTGCATATGCATTTCTTCTTCTTCTTCTTCTTCTTCTTCTTCTTCTTCTTCTTTAGCTTTTCTTTGTCATGTTCCTCATAAGTCCTCTAACCTCTTGAGGTTATGATAGACATTAGGTGCCTAACTATGCATGATAACATTAGGTAGTTCCCTTTTCAAGCTCAACTTTAAGTCCACTTTGCATGATAACTTTTAGGATTGATTAGTCTCTCATTAGTGTTCCTTCTTCTCTTCTCATCTTCAAACAAGTTTAACATACTTAATAAGGATAGTGAATGTTGTGCCATGAGCCTTATACTGGGGAAATGGTAGTTGAGGGGGCACCTCTCAATTGCCTAGAGTGTTTAGTATACGTCCTTAGGACGATATGCGACGCATTCGATCCTAGGTTCTAGACTTTGTTACAACATACATTATAAACACTCTAATTCAAAACACTTCTTCTCTAAAAAACACAAAAACAATTCAAACCTTTTTCACCCTTTGGGGTTCTTAATCGAGGAAAATCTTTTTCACAAAAAGAATGTCGTTAACTTTTAGTTCTACCGCAAACGGTAACGCCTAAGTCTCCAAAGGTCGAGCTGCATACACCAACTGCTAGAACTATCTGTTAACCCTACTCGGGCCTAAAAAACTGTTGAACCAGCCTATGGTCTTTTGAGCTCGAACTACATTTGCTCTGATCTTTCGTACCAGATGAAAGTACGTAGGCACGAGACGCGACGTCTCGGTGATCAACCTTCCCCTTTCTTTAGCCGTAGTTAGGCGAACTACGTTGACTCTGACTTTCCCATTGCACGAGGGAGTACGTAGGCACAGAGCGGCGACGCTCTGCCGAGTCAGTTCCTTTTTCTTTTTCTTTTGTCCCTAAGCCTTTAGCTATATAGTTTCAACACACCCTTTTAGATAGACAATAATGCGTGGATCCTGTCGAGTACGACGGACGTGAGGGGTGCTTATACCTTCCCCTTGCGTAACCGACTCCCGAACCCAGACATGGTTGTGATGACCTTGTCTTTTCCTTTTTCTTTAGGTTTTTGCGATCGTTTCCTTTCCCTCTCTTTGGGATAAATAACGAAAGTGGCGACTCTTCTATTTTTTACGCCGGTTGTTTTTCGCAGTTGCGACAATGTGGACGGTCTTGGTCAGTGGTGGTAATTCTGAAGGGAATTACGGTGAGTATGTGACTCATGTGTGATCATTGAGGATCGTGGGTTATGCAGGAATGATGATTATAATGTGCATAATTGTGTGTCATGCATTCATGTTATGTCTGGTGAAAGTGAGTCTAGGTGGGAATCCATGATGGATGCCTAGTCTCGTCTGAACTCCATGTGGGAGTCGAGTGGAGATAACTTTTAGTTCAGAGGAACGTGGATTCCGATGGGAATTAGGTTCAATGAAGGAACCGTATGAATTGTGATGGTACCACATGCATTGTGTCGTGTCAGTTGAGTCGCATTGCATATATATATATATGATTGATTGTGGGCTGAATATGCTGAGCTTTAATGTGGCACTTGTTTGTGCGTTGTGATGATATGATTGGTGTGATTTGTGTGATAACTACTTCTTCGTATGTGATTTTTACCATTTATTCTTGAATGTAATTCTCACCCTTTTTCTGTTGTTGTGTCTGTGCTCCTTGGGGAGTACATATAATCAGGTACTTGAGTAGTGCTTGGAGCATGTGTTGCTATTGATCGAGTTTTAGGAGTTGCTCTGATACCTAACACGAGAATGATGGAGATTTCGTTATTTTCTTTATGTTATTTGTCATTTGTTATTTGTTATGTATCTTGATTTGTTTAATGTTGTTGAACCACAGATTTTGTGGAGGTTTGATGTAATTTGAGCCTTAGTGCTGAACCACTTGATTTTTTCTGCTGTTTAATCAATTTATTTATTTGTATGAGAAAATAAGATATGAAGTAATTCGATACTTCATGATGATATTTTTGTTGATGTGGCATCCTACGTGTGTAACTTGATTAATTTCCGCAAATTATTTTTGTATTTTTACTCATTAACTTAACGGGGAGACTAGGGTGTTACACCAACCACCACCAAGAATTATGGATTATCTTATATATAATATCAATTGAATTTCTAATAGCATTATTGTAAATAATTTGATTTTTTGTCCATCAAATGATCTAATAGCATCATTTGTTTCAATCATAATTCATCATTCTCATTTTGCAAAACTAATTTTTAATTTATTATATGTTATATATTATATTAAATCTATTATTCTTTTAATGTTTTTAAAATATTACTAAAAATATATTTTGTATTTTATATGTCCAAAAACCGATTTAAATTAAACAAAATAACATAAAATCAGATTGGATCGAGTTTTTTAGTCAAAGGAAGTTTATGACATTTAATAGCCGTTTGTTTTCTCAAGTCGATAGGAGATTTTATATCAATGATTTTAAAAATATTAACTTTTACAAATTAATTAATTATACATATTTATCTTGTATATGATTTTAAAAGATATAAAATAGAAGGAGTTGAAAAAATTATGGCACGAATATATAGTTTTCTTTGCTATTAACAAAATGTATATAATTTTGATAAATTTGTGGCAACATTTGATAACAAAAACGTTCAAGTCTAATATAAAATAATTATAATTTGTATATTATAATTATTTTAATATTAAAAAATATTAAAAAATGTATTCAGTCATTTTTTCTTACTAATAATTTTTTTATTTACTTTCTATGTCTAATATAAAAAATTATACTACATATTAGTTGATAATTTTTATGAGTTTGTGACAACATTTATTAATGAAAAAAAATTATCTAAAATATATAATTATTATAAAATATATTTATGAAAAAAAGTTGTGACAATTCTCCATGCAACCCTTAAATTTCATAACGTGTAAAAAATTTGTGGGTAGGATAGAAGAATTTAAAAGTATTTTTGGTAGCAATGTGCTTTCTCATTTAATTTATATACCTATTTAATAATTTTGCATGACTTGATTAGCAAGACATCTTTTGTATATATATCCCAAGGAAATAACATGTAAAAAGGGTTTAGGGTTTATCAAGCTACTCTCTTTTCTACGTCTCTAGGTTTTACAATCAGAATAAGAATGAATCTCCTCACCGAATCAATCACCAACCAAACGGAGGTTTCATTGGCCATAGCCAAACATTTGTTCTCCAAAGAAAAATATAAAGAAACAAACATTGTGTTTTCGCCATTGTCGCTCCAAATCATACTCAGTATTATTGCTGTTGGCTCTGAGGGTTCCACGCAACACCAGCTTCTTGAATTCCTCCGATCTGAATCTACCGACCAACTCAAAACCTTATGCTCTCAACTTGTTTCCTCGGTGCTTGCCGATAACACTCCCGCCGGCGGACCTCTGGTGTCTTTCATCAATGGTGTGTGGGTTCAACAATCATTTTCTCTTCAACCTTCCTTCAAAGAAAGTGTGGCTACTGAATTCAAAGCCAATATTGCCTCAGTTGATTTCGTAACCAAGGTATAATAATCTTGAATCCATGCCAATGCTTTTTTATTATTATTTTTACAGTATTAAGTAATGGATGAAACTGTTTATTTTCCTTAATTTATTCTTCTTGTTTTATTAATTTAATATTTGATATTGTTTTGAAGGCTTCTGAAGTGACTAAAGAAGTGAATTCATGGGCTGAAAAAGAGACAAAAGGTCTTATAAAGAATCTACTTCCACCTGATGCAGTGAATAGCTTAACGAGACTCATATTTGCAAATGCATTATACTTCAAAGGAGCATGGTGGGACGAGTTTGATGAATCAAAAACAAAAGACTGTGATTTTTTTCTTCTCAATGGCACCTCAGTCAAAGTTCCCTTCATGACAAGCCAGAAGAAACAGTTTATTAGTGTTTTTGATGGTTTTAAAGTCCTTCGTCTTTTTTATAAGCATGGTACTTTATATGAGCAACAAGATAAGCGTCGTTTCTCTATTTACTTTTATCTTCCTGATGCAAAAGATGGATTATTAGCTTTGATTGAAAAGGTAGCTTCTGAGTCCGATTTTTTGGAGCGTACGTGTCCTAGAGCTACAGCGCCAGTAGGTGACTTTAGAATTCCAAGATTCAATATTTCTTTTGGCCTTGAAACTTTTGATATCCTAAAGGAATTAGGAGTGATTTTACCTTTCACTGAAGGAGGTTTGACAAAAATGGTGGACTCTCCTATGGATCAAAACCTTCATGTTTCCGGCATATACCACAAGTCTTTTATTGAAGTAAATGAAAAAGGAACTGAAGTTGCTGCTGTGACCTGTACTGATGTTAGGGTTACATGTGGTCGGCGTACCAATCCTCCTCCGCCTCCGATAGACTTTGTAGCTGACCACCCTTTCATGTTTTTGATTAGAGAAGATGGATCTGGAACAGTACTCTTTACTGGACAAGTGCTCAATCCTCTTGTGATTTGATGTGATCTTTACTTTCCATTCTATAATCACTTGTTTTTTTTAATAAGAATTAATCTCTTTGCTCATTGAATTGGCTGACGTGGTTTATTTCAAATTGTTTCCCTTTAGTTTTTTTTTGTTTCAATTGTGCCATACTCGTGCTTTGAATCCCCGTTCAAAACAGTCACATTATAAGTTGATGCATCTCAAATTCTATCATACTCTTGAGTATTGACCACACCTCTAAAAACAATAAATTCCAATACTAATTCACAACACTACGCCAGAAATCACTTTTAGCAGCGCATAGAAAGACAGCGCTTTATACAAAAGCGCTGCTAAAGGGCCAGTAAAAAAAAAAAGAAAAAAAGCGCCTACCAAAGACAGCGCTTTTAAAAAAGCGCTGCTAAATGGTGGGCCTAAGAAAGCGCTTTTAAAAAGCGCTGCTAAAGGGGGGGCCTACGAAAGCGCTTTTCAAAAGCGCTGCTAAAGGGGGACCCTTAGAAAGCGCTTTTTATATAAAGCACTGCTATGTGTAATTGATAAGCACCCTATGAAAGCGCTTTTAAAAGCGCTGCTAAAGGCCTTTAAAAGCGCTGCTATAGGTATTCATATTATAATTTTAAGGCACCCTATGAAAGCGCTTTTCAAAAGCGCTGCTAAAGGGGGACCCTTAGAAAGCGCTTTTTATATAAAGCGCTGCTATATGGAATTGATAAGGCGCCCTATGAAAGCGCTTTGAAAAGCGCTGCTAAAGGCCTTTAAAAGCGCTGCTATAGGTATTCATATTATAATTTTAAAATACCCTCCAGAATTTTAACAGAATCAGAACAGTCACGCAACACATTTCTTCTTTCTCTGGCGAACGAAAACGAACGAACGAACCACTGTTCATCGTCCGACCATCAACTTCTTCCGTCCGATCATCCTTCCGACCATCACCGACCGTTCACCGTCTGTTTTTGAGTTCATCCATCCGTCTGCATTGCCGGTCCACCATTGTTACGGTACGTGAAGCTTTACTCTGCTTTTCTTGTTTTTTTTTTATCTTTTCACCATTGTTGTTCTGATGATATATAGATGGTTTTTATCTTTTCAAATGATGGTTTTTGTTGTTGTTGTGTTAGTTGTTGTTGTGTTAATATGATATATGAGATATATATGATATTGTTGTTGTTGTTGATGTAAAATAGTTTATATAGTTTACAATGTAAAATAGTTTATATATGATATTGTTGTTGTTGTTGATATATGAGATATATTGTTGTTGTTGTTCTGATGATATATTGTTGTTGTGTTAATATGATATATGAGATATATTTGTTATTGTTATTTGATATTGGTTTATATTTGATATAGATAGTTTATATATGAGATATATTGTTGTTGTTGTTCTGATGATATATTGTTGTTGTGTTAATATGATATCTGAGATATATTAGTTATTGTTATTTGATATATGAGATATATGAGATATATTGTTATTGTTGTTGATATATGAGATATATTGTTGTTGTTGTTCTGATGATATATTGTTGTTGTGTTAATATGATATCTGAGATATATTTGTTATTGTTATTTGATGATATATTGTTGTTGTTGTGTATAGATGGTTTATATTTGTTATTGTTATTTGATATTGGTTTATATAGATGGTTTATGTTGTTATTGTTGGTTTATATTGTTATTGTTGGTTTATATTTGATATAGATAGTTTATATAGATGGTTTGTATAGATGGTTTATATTTGTTATTGTTATTTGATGGTTTATATAGATGGTTTATGTTGTTATTGTTGGTTTATATTTGATATAGATAGTTTATATAGATGGTTTGTATAGATGGTTTATATTTGATATAGATGTTGCTATTGTTGTTGATATTTGTTGTTGTTGTTGTTATTCTGAATTTCAGGTATATTATGGCCAGCAACGAGGAAACATCACATGATGGAAAAGAAACACCCAAAGACGTTGAAGGCGAAATTAAAAGAGGCATAACGATAATGAAAAGTATCATCCGTGCGAGAGATAGAGGTGTAAAGTACGATGTCCATTGGAATGAAAGAGATCAGTTGGTTGAGCCTAATGGTGCGCTGCTGACAAGTTATATTGGAGCAGTTGTACGTTCGCAAGTTCCGATTACTTGCGATAACTGGAGAATTCCTGCATTAAAAGCGGCTAAGGATAAAATTTGGACCGAGATTCAAGTATGAGATTTGATCATTTTTAATTATGTTGACAGTTACATCTTTAAATTAATTATATTAACATGTTATATGTATGTGTATTTGTTTGCAGAGATCTTTTAATATTGAGGATTCTAGGAGAAAATATTGTATTCAGTTGGCCGGAAAACGCTTGAGGGGATTTAGAGCGTTTTTAACCAACAAATATCTTAAAGATTCTGATGGCAACTTTGTAGAGTCGGAGCGTCCAGCGAAGTACGCTGATTTGATTTCGGATGCAGAATGGGAGACATTTGTTGCGAAGCGAAGAACCAAAGAATTTGAAGTAAGTACAACTTATCATGTACAATGTATAGTATATATACCTATTCCACAAACAAACTGATATGACTTAAACTTGTTTTTTCAGGTTAAGAGTGGCGTAAATCGGGAACGGGCATCAAACCCTGCGTATCCATATAGAAAGGGGCGTTTGGGATATGCACGCTTAGAACAAAAATTAGTAAGTGCATATATATGCTTTAATATGATCTATTTACAAAAAATAGTAAGTATACATAATAGGATATAATGCTTTATTGTTCGTCTTAATGCATAGTTGGAAGAGGAGAAAAGTGATGCGACATCTCTTCCGGACCATGTCGTATGGAAGGCTGCCCGGGTGGGAAGAGATGGAGCCGTCCAAGAAGAAGTTCAACAAGTGTTTGAACAATGTGTAAGTACAACATTAGTTTTTGAACAAAGTGTTTGAACAAAGTGTATAAAATATTTAAATATGCTTTTATCTATATTTCAGGAGTCCCTATCCCAGACTATAACTCCTGCTGAAGACGATGATTGCAGGAGTTTATTGAGTCGGGTGTTGAATATTCCTGAGTACTCTGGGCGTGTGAGGGGCAAGGGATTTGGTGTCACTCCATCCAAACTGTATAAGCAGCCAAGGAAAAAAAATCCAACCAATAAAGAAGTGATGGCTACTTTGGAGGAAATGAAAGCTCAAATTCGTGAATTACAGAAGGATAAGGAGAGATACATGTCTGAAAGGCGCGCTCCAGAGGCCGGTAAAGCTACTAGTGACAAAGATAGTATCAGTTGTCCGCAGAAGCTTCCAGAGGTAATTGTATATATTACAATGAAATTAATTTAGCACATTTTTCTTAATTGACACATTAACTGATCATTATTTGTTTAGGGCATTTCACCTTGTCGACTATATTTATCGTCGCCGACTTATCGCATGGTTGGCAAGGGAAAGGTGCATAACACCCTGGGAGACTTACTTCACCATAAACCCCTCCCTGCTGGATTTTTGAAAGTATATGTTGATATTGCATTAGAGGGGGAGGCGTTGTTGCCTATGCGAGACGATGTATCAGACGCAAAAGTGGTGGGAGACGCGATAGGAGCTTATGTAGCATGGCCGGCGAATCTCATTTTCATGGATGATGAGGTAGGTTGAACCTTGTAATATTCCAATGTTTTATTACCCATACATGAAAGTTATTCTGACATTTACACTTTCTTATTGACATGATGATCATAGACTCCCACAAAATCCAAAACAAAAGATGATAAAATTATTGTGCGGGATACCGATTCAGCTGCATCAAAGTTACAGGTACTAGTACTACAGTTTAAGTGATTATTTTATTATAAATTATTTACTGAACTTATATATGACTTTTAGGTTCTTGATCAGCAGTCGCAACATGTCAGCAAGGGAAACATGCCTGAAACTTCCAAGGTGCCCAAAAAAAAGGTCGAGACAAAAAGAGCATTTGTTCCTCAATTTAGATCGTGCCTTCAAACATATGTAGGGACAACAGACGTGCCTGAGGGCGGCATCCGTCTAATACATATGGAACAAGGTATTTTCGGTTTTGAATATTCCGAAACACTTGCTAAGGAGGATTTCGACCAGGTTTTCAAACATTTAGAATTGGGCGTCGGGGTTATGCATACCTACATCAGGTACTTCGATCCATTTTAATTAGATAATTGAACATTTTAAAATTCGCTCGTTTAACTGAATAATCTAATGTTGATTATATTTTTTTTAGGCGCTTGTATGACAAGATGTTGGTCCCCGCTGATTTGACTTCAGTATTCGCATTCTTATCTGCTAGCAGTGTCAACTCACGGACAATAGACCAGACACCAGAAGCAGTCAAAGAGTACACAATCCAGAGATTTATGGGTGCGAATACGGAGAAGTTGTTTATGTTGCCATATAATACTGGCCATGGGTTAGTTTTTATTCTAAATTCATTTATTATAATTGTTCTATTTTTGCTATATTATATAACATTTCCGTCTAAACTGTTGTCTTATTTTATAGTGGTCACTGGTTGTTGGTCGCAATTAATCCGATTAAAGAAATAGTGTATTATATAGATTCATTGGATGACGATACAAACAAATATGAAAATCTGAAGAACATGGTTGATACGTAAGTGATGATGTATAGTGTTCTGAATAATTATATATGTTTATTTATTATGTGACATTGTTCTAAATATGTGTTTATATTATGTTAGAGTTATACAAATATACAGAGCACAGAGAGATGCAACAGTGCCAAAAAGCAGGGCTAGCAACATCAACTGGATCAGAGTGGAGGTATATTTTCCCATGTTTGACTGTTATAGTGGTTCTACTTATAAAACTATTTAAACTATATATCCTGATAAATGTTCGTTCGCTTTTTTCCTAATACAGTGTCCTCGTCAGCGTGGTGGGATTGACTGCGGATATTTTGTACTGCGCTTTATGAAGGAAATCATTCTTTCTGGTCAATTAGAGATTCTAATCATGGTATGGATCAATTCATGAG